ATTAATATATATGCAATATTATAATATTATATTATAACACAGCACCGATGATAATATTATTACTTCGTAGCGCCACCTCTTCGCATTGACCCATTCACATATCCTCTATAATTCCAACGGCTCCAACGCGCCACCGGTCGCTGTGATAATTTCCGTGTACTATACCCAATATATTATATAGAATACTTTTCAATAATCATGTCCACGTGAAATTTAACACGATTATTAATTGTTGTTCGTTGGCTACATTAGGGCCTAAAAACCAATGTAAATAAACCACGAAGGGACATTTTTGCTGTACAGGGGACATACCTACTATTGTTATTATTATAATACTATGATGGTGTATTTTATGAACATAAACGAATATTTGGTGCACACCCCACGAAGCAGTTTATCATCCATATTGTTATGAATCTTAAAAAAAAAAGTGATGCGAACCATAGTGAAAATATCACTTCCTTTTTTATGGAGATGTTAAGATATATGATTTCATAAACGGAAATTATTGAACACACATTCTATGCACAACATATTAAATCATTCGTACGCGTATTGTAGTACCTTTATTGTAATGGAAGTCCCATAATGTTGTGCTCCGTTAATATTGTCGTAAAAGCATTCACACATTACCTAACATACGTTTGTCGAGGGAAACTCCGTGACTAGATAGTCAATATTTAAAATACATAAATATTGAAACTCGAGCGCCATTGGCCAAAAATCATTTACACCACCGTTAAGACCCCATGTCCATAATGTATATTGTCATTTGTTTAAAATATTTAACCATAATAGCGTCCCTGCAGTCGCATGAAAGACTGAGCACTGGTCCCCTAATTAGTAATTACCAGTGAAAATAATTTAATACAGCACAATTCAGTGCAATAATAATAATTGTTTGTTTTCTCACCACATTCGTGGTTCTTGCATTATTGAATTTCACTCATTATATAGTAAAATTCTGTTAACACGTGAAATAAAAATTGTGGTACTTATCAACAATTTTGGACTCTAAACTTTTGACTAAATAACATGTTTGTGATATATAAATTAAATCATAATATGTATTTTAAATTAGGTTTGTTACGACTCGTGAGCATGGGTTTTCATCATGAATCATCCTTCAAGTTTTGTATTATTCTCTAGTTCTAACATTAAAATATTATGCTAGTTTATACTAGAATTTAGATAGTTTTCTTTAAAATCAATGTTTATTTTTAATATATTCAGGCTATTAATTCAGCTTTCAAAGATAACCTCGTCCAGGGTACGACCGTGTGGGTTTTAAGTATTTCATTAAATAAAAATGTAAAAATTATTTAACTTCAAACGTTTGTTCAAATTACTCCATAATTACCTTGTTTTTCCTAAGCTTATTGAACAATTACATTTTTTTAATTGTTTCGTCCAATTCAATAAATAAAACCTTTAACCTTATTCTATTATTTAACTGCTTCTTATAAAATGGTGCTTACAAAATGTACACTTTTAAAAATTACATAGGTATATAGTATATTGAAATATTATAATCGTTTTAGAAATCGTAAGTCTTTTGTCTTCTTTAGTAAATATTTTATATATAAAAAAGATATGCCATTATATTGAAGCTATTCTCTTCTTCAAAATATATGGTAGTACATGTTTTCATAATTATATCAATATAGACACTACAATTTAAATTTTGCTAAATTAGTGATTAGACGGACTCTGATAAAACACTATTCAGTATCACTTCCTCTATTTTAACCGAAATTTGTTTTTTTCCATTGGGCGAATAGTAAAATGATGCGTTATCGCATCTGCATCAAGTAGATTCTATCATAAGGTGATTCACCAAGCACGCATGTCCACATATTCCATAAACAATGCATCTATATAAATTCTGATATTTTATGTAATTTAAGGATAGTTTCCTGTAGTAATGCATACTTATTTTTTTTTCAAATAAGAACCACACTTTTTTTATTTCAAAGTGTTAAAAAGATGAATTTTTTGGAAATGTTGACATTTTAAGTTTGAACTATTAGTTGTTAAGTCATTAAGCTTTATGTATTTTTGTTGAGTTTTAAAAATAAATCATCTCCTGAACAGTTTACAATAAAAAAGAGTGGTTATCATTTGAATAAAAGAAGTTAAGTCACCACAGGACAGTCTTAAACTGCATAAAAATCGAAATGTATGAAAATATAGTTCTTATATAGACCGTAACCATACTAAAAAATTCTAAAAATCAGAATTTAAATAAATGTATTATAAAAGGTAAAATATGGTGGGGGAGGAGTGTTATGCTTGGTAAATTACCTTATATATCATATACAGCTAGTTTGGATACCAAGTAGATTATTAGGGTACGAAACGAGAAATTTTGCATCTGTAAACGGACTATAACACACACACACTTAACTGCACTCACGCAGTGGACCTAATACTGATATTGTAGTGTATAACAATACACTATCTCGAAAAACAAATTCATCAACACGGTGGGTAGGGCAGGACAAGAGGATTTATCCGGCATTAGGAGATGCTTCCATGTAATTCAACTAACCGTAATCGACGAGTTGTTCATTCCAATATGCTCACTAGAACTACTGCTATAATACGTCTCGACGGTTATCCCAAAGACCTAGCTTAAGGTGATAACCACAAGCCAGTCGGAAGTTTGTTTTAAGCTTTTTTTTTTCTTTTTTAATATCGTCCAAAAATATTCATTATCTGGAGATGAAATTACGCCGAAGATTTTTCTGCATGTAGGAAATTCACGTATAACGTATAAACGATCTTAAATAATGTGTAACCACTATAATTGTGCTTGTATTTCCAACATCGTATGGTCACGAATTGTGTTGATAAATAACAGCGGCAAGCATAAAAACTTTGTTTCTAATAATAAAACAAATAAAATAGATTTTAATGAAACCAAAAACTAGGTAAATTTTTAATAAAAATATTTAATTTCCAAAACTCCTTCAAGATTTACAGTCTAATTAATTGTTCCGTAGGCACTTTATTTGTTGCAATAAAGCGAATACAAATATAAATCAGAGTTTTTTTAATTATTTATTAAATATTTAACAGTGAAAAAAATAAAATTGTTTTATAAAGTTCCTTATTTTTTTATTAAAAAAAAGGAATAATTAAAAACAAAGAAAATCCCGGGAAAAAAATCTTAGTTACCTGTAAAACCTTTAATAAGATTTTAAAACATAAGTTAGTAAACTCATGAATGCTTTAGAAATAACAATACTAAAATTACACCTAACATTCTAAAGTAAGACTAAAATAATAATATTATACTCGGGCATCAGCATCATAATTCATAATATTATAATAAATGGAAAGGTAGTCACGAAAAAGTCTGTCACTTGGCTTTCGAGTAGCTATGGTAGTTTAGGACTATGTAACTTGAAATGTTTTCATAGTATTCATACTATGATATATCATTATTAGAGCATATTATATCCAATGTTGACAAACAAGAAAAATCCAATGTTTACACGAAACGGATATAAATTATTGACACTGGAACATTGTTTGCTTTCTTATTTTCCCGACAGTCTCGACTCTCGAGCGATTAGGGGCGTTAAGTTCGTCGACAATGGGCGACGACCCGTATAATATAATTTATTAGTCTTTAATAGTGCCAATACGAAGCAAGGGACGTGCACAACGCATAACTTTATAAATTCATTTGACCGTAAAATTCCGGACGTCGAAACAATGGTTATAATTTTTTTATTATTCACTACAAGTACTACCTACTCGAAACGTGGTCTCGTTCGGACAATCATAATCGATGAACATTACTGTAGAGCGATTGTCAGAGAATTCATCGTCTGAATACACTCGCTCGTCGAATTTTTTTATTCCATCCAACGCACATAATATTATCATACCTGTGCATTCCTGAAATACTCTATAAATCCATTTATGTTCGAAAACACACACACGCACATGCACTCGTAATCGTTCGCTCGCATATTACTGGAGCTCACCCGCAGAATTTTATTTTATTTTTTTTTTTAAACATTTATTATTATATCACACAATCTGTATTAAGTTCACACAAAGAAGCAAAGAGAAGTGCGACGGGGAGACTTGTTGAAGAGGTCACCTCTTCGTTTGATGGAACCTCGGGTCGACGACTTTTAATAATAATAATATAATAATAATAATAATAATAATAATAATAATATGCGCCTGTTGAAACCTTATTTCTACACTCTGGACGACCCGCAGCTCGCAATTATAAAACAGCCCCACCATCACCACCGCCGCCACCACATACGTACACATTAATGAGTTTATATTATACACGGTATACACATATATATGCAGTGTATGCGAGCGCCTAACCACTGGCACTTTGGCCATGTTCGTCAAATGCGCCGAATATTTTAGACCCTATAAATAAAGCCCCATACACACCGTTAGCGTTCATCCCGAATTGAAATCGTTAGGAGCAGTACAGTGTACTGACCTCACCGAGAAAATAAATCGAATTCAATTTTTCATATAACAATATCTTTTTTTAAAAGGTAGTCTTACCTCAGGTCGGCATATTATCGGGTTTCAGAGCTCATGTCACCGTCGTTAACGCACATTTTTGGTAAGTTATTAACGCGATAAGTACGATTTTTATTGCAACTTTGTTCGCTAATAGGACCTTAGATATTCATATTGGCGATCACTTCAAATCATTTAAAAAAAAAAATTGTTTTAAAAAATGCAGTGTAGCAATCATTTGACGATAAATGAGATACCCGCTTTGTGCAACACAAATCACAACACGCGCGTCTTATACTATTATTGTCATTGGAATGCCTAAAATATATTATAACGCCACGTACCGACCACGGATTGTTGGTATTGTAAAAATATATAATAGGCACAATAATAATATATTGTTTATATTATTATTTATGTAATTTTCGCTGTGATTGACCGTCGTTAATTGTTTCCGTATCACGTCTACAGGATTCAGCGACCCTTACTGCATGCTCGGTATCCAGCCGGGCATGGTGTCTCCACAACCTGGAGCTGGCCTGCCACCGTCACCGGCCAACAGTCCTTCACCGTACCAGCCACCGCTATCGCCGCGACCTGCGCACGCCACCGCCCGCACGCTGTCCGAGGGAGGAATCGACTTGCCGGACGGCCGTCACGACCATCACGACAAGCTCGCAACACCACAGGTATGTGTGCCTATATTATATCGGTGGTGGTGGTGGGGGAGTGGCGACCTGTTTTTCGGGTCACGTGTCAGAATTCTGTAATCTGATCAGTTTAAAACGAATTAAAAAATGCACGCGCCAGTAGCGTAAATTGTAATAATTGTTCTTGAATGGGGCACACCTACTCGTGAACAATATTTTCGAGGCGTGATGGGCCCCGCTTTTCAAAAAAAAAATTCAAGAACAATGTTTTATATCAATTATTGTGTATTTCGATAGTCTCAGATAATATGTATTATGTTTTTTGTGAAACACGAGCTTTTCTTCTGTTTTGATTCAAAATAATCCGATGCGGAAAATAAACATCACATAATAATATAATTGTATTATTATTATATATATTTTGAACGTGAAATTGAATTGCTTTATTCGGACAACGCCACTGTTTTCGAAGTACAGAATATTAGTATGTCTGGTAGCAGCGAGGATACAAAACTTTTATGATTATTTTCTCCTTATAAATTCGAGATTAAACAATGAAACACAAATATTTTTGAGTTCTGTTAAAATTTGGCCTACGTGCCATTGACTTATTTTGTTTGATATAACTCTTGAGAAATATGACCCCTTTACTCCCCGAATTGATAAAATTTTTTTTTAAACTATAAATTCTAAGCAGAACAAGGAATTGGCTCTAAAATGATATCGAATATTATACATATTGTGATCAATTTATTTGTATATGCGTAGTATGGAAGTTCACTTCGACGGAATTATACTTATATTATGTTATCTTAATGAAAAATAACGTTTTTTCCGCAATATATTCTAGTTATTTGGTTGTAATTCTAAAATATAAGCCGTAGGGACTTGAAACATTTTTCCATTTCGTAGGTATACTATTATTTTCAATAAACAATGACATTTACAAAACATTTTTTAGATAATTTTAGGGGGTTATAACACAGACATATCATGATAAGGTACGTCGCAATCGCGACTTTATTGACTTATAAATTATAAGTCGTATGCCATAATTTTCATAAAATTTAACTCAGTCCACTTATCCACTGTATCAAGAAATCATAAGTAATAATTTAAATATGGTGTAACATAAACTAATAACTATCCTACATTCTTATACATAAAATTCTGATCCACCTGTCTCCATCCCTCAGAACCGTTTTATCCGCATCCATGATTTATCAATAAATTTAAAACGGAACACACCCATTAGGGTGACCGTTACCTACTCAATGACGAAGAACCCTTGAAACTTTTAACTATACAGCAGATGGAGTTCTGAGCATATATGTAGTTCGTTGTTCGTTTTGTTTTCCGGGTAAAGATACAATAATAATAATATACCGTGGTAAAGACTAATAATATTATGACTTACAGACGTTGACCGCGTGATGTATAGGCAATTTCAGTACACCCCACGTGCAGTGTGGACTTGGAATAATATCCCTGGCCATTAATCTAAACAGATGGGAGTATTATAGGCGTTGTTGACTGAAAAATAACTCGATAAATAATTGTTATTAACATACATAACGTATAAAGAAAATCATAAAATTATTTTATCTCGCTCTTCGGCAGAATTTATCGCCTTCGTTCGTATTCTTGCAGTTGTCGTGGCAACTGAGGCCAAGCACCGGGTAATTTTTTTTACCGATTCCGCATACTGTTTGGATAGGTTCAGTATTTTCGCTTGCGTATAGGTTTGACGAAGGTTGTGTCGATGATTAACAGTATATATGGGGGCCGGCGGTATTATCCGAAGTCTTTTAGACTACCGTGGGTTTATGGGCTTTTCAATTCATCCCTGCGTGTAATGTCGAACCTATATCAATTTCAACTGAATATTATAATCGATAGTAAGTACCTCTACTGTGTTTTTCCAAAACATCTCCTCTTCACCGTTACATGAAAACATCAATTATTATATCCGGGTTCTAGGATCAGTTTTATTTATTTTTCTTTCATCATATCGTCTTGATCCCGACGTGGTTGCTGCCATTTCACCAACGCCACGCGTGATAACATAAGATGTAATTTACATCGTAAAACCACCCACAAATTACGAAAAAACCGTTAAAAACGGGATTTTAATTTCTTCCGCTGTGTTTTTATCACCATAAAGCAACGACTAAATAATAATAATATTATAATACTAATTCAACTTACAGGCTATAATGAATAATAACAATAAGCACACTATCCAGACTGACAAACCGTCTAGGCTCATATAGTTTTTTTCTTAAACAATTCAAATTGAATACAATCCCATTATACGTTGGACCCACTGGTAATCTACTGTACGGCAGAGCAACATCCACCTACCCGCTTTTTAATGCAATTCTTTGTGCTAAGGACAAACACAATTTAATTAAATTAAAAAATAAAATATGAGGAAGTCAGTATCTCTGTGAATCTAAAAAAAAAAACAAATATATTATGTATTTATTATCGCGAAGATATCACAATGGGTAAATCCTCGCGGACAACTCGTATATGGTAATTTTTCGTTATACTTATACAATTATTATTATTACACATTAATTTCAACAACAACACTGTTCAATTACCTATATAAACTAGGAATATCACTTGAATGAGCTGGGACATGTCTTAAAAGTGCCTTCTGCTAAACAAAACTTTGATAGAGCGTCAGTTTTCATCAATAATAATTGTCTTCTGGCATAACAATATACCTACTTAACTAACATAAATTGTGAATAATTTGGCCTTTAGTAGCGAACCAGTGCGAACTCTATATAATAATATGATCTTTGAATACTTCCACAGATCAATAGATCATATACATTATAATTTATAATAATCATTACGAATTTATTTTTTGTCAGCATACCTAGGTAAAAATAACAAATAGCCGTATATTTCAGAGGTACTCTTACGCGAATAAGATAAACTATACACAGTTCATAAAACTTATCCATAAAACTGGACTATAGATTTATATAATATGTGGAATTCTGATCCGAGTCAACTGATTATTATTGTTCTACCGAACCACATAATAATGTAATATAATGTTATGTTGGCTAATAAATGTACGAACGAGTTGCTGTTTAAAACGAATTGCGGTCGTCTGGATACAATCACTGCGTAAAACTGTTATTGAAACACAACAAATAATAATCAACGAAATGTGTGTCCATTTTATAATACCACAGTAAAGTATCGTTGTAAGGCGTGTAATATTGTATGGGGGATTTAAAATTGCCAGGCGTGTTATAACCATAAATCCACTATAACCGTTTCCGGACATTGGGCCCGGACTGAAAAATGCACGTACGCAAGTATAATAGAGAAGCCTATAAATGTTCTCCATTATATTATAGCCAATTTTCCGTTCTAACCGGATCCGTTTCGAAAACGATTTCCACAATAAGTATTGACGTTAATGCCGCTACTATAATGGGCCCCCGAAAAAAAGGTTCGTCGAGATCGACTAGGTAGGTAGCTATATTATGCCATTTAAACTGGACTTGAACGGGTATACCCATATTTTTCACCCGGTGTCCGAAATTGTCCAATACCAACCATTTCATATTAAACATCATGAATTTCAGAGGGTCGACAATAAATTCGTTGTTTATTATAGCGCATAATGTAATTAATATATTATATATTTACACATACGTAACATACGCGTTAAGGCGATAATATATCTGACATCTAAGAAACTAGATCCGGTTATAGTCGTTGAATTTCAACAGAATTATCAAAAACAAGCTACTATTCACAGCAGTGTGAAAAACGTGTGGCAGGTATAATAATGTATAAGAGCAGTTTTCTCCACTACAAAATAGTTTGTACTTATAAATAATATGAGATCGTCCAAATCGGGTTACCACAAAATTGGTCGGAATTGCGTAGGGGCGCCGAATATTTTAATTTGATCCCACTAGCTTTGCAATTGAAAATGTTTACGCATACATTTATAATTTATTTATTATGACTTACTCTATAAATATAAAGTTCTCTGGAAGTATGTTTACGAGCGCAAAGCCCGTAACTTTAAGACACGTGTACTTGAATACGTATATCACACGTGTATAATATACGCCGTTACTTATGCTCGAGACCCACTAAGACTCTGCCAAAACGCCAGGCACATTATATATGTACGATCGACTATTAGTTTTGCGCTGATTGCCGAGAATCGTTCGCTAGCGTGGCACCGTCAAATACTTGCTTATCCGAGCAAACAACCTCCGACAAGCAAACAGAATCAAACACCAGCAATTTCGTGAAACGTAGAAAATCCGAGGTAAATAATAATAACAGACAGTGGTGCAGTCTAAACGTTTTGAAATCGAAAACGAAAAAAAAAAAAAAATAAACTTCCCGGTACACCCTACCCCCACCCATTCGCCCACACAACCCGACCACCGACGACCCGCCACCGCCGAGCCCTTAGCGGCTTAGCCAACAACCTACCCTCGTCGTACCCACAAGAAATTGCACCCGCATGTGGCCCAGACACACACACACACTGCAGCCCACATCGTCGTCGTAGTAATGCGTCGTTCGTTTATAGATCCCATTTATAATACAAAAAGGCGCCGTCCAATATATAACGTCCCGAAGTCAAAACGTATAGTATTTCGAATCGTTCGATCGACAAATCATATTTTGCCGTATAAAAGTCAGACCACTTTTTATTATTATTTTTTTATATTCGTTTGAATGTTTCATTATTGTTCTTTTCATAAGAACACAGTTATAGGTACAGTATAAACTATACCTATAACGCGTTTAAAACGATTTCAACAATCCATTTGGACACGAAATTAATGTACCTATGTATTAAAGCGAGTACCAAGTAAGTAGGTATTGTCATGTATCTTAATAATATCCGTGTAAAATTGTATTTTAGTCTGTATTTTGTCAGTTTCGAATACTCTCTATTGTGAATACAGTTTATATTATCCACAGTAAATCGGTCTCAAACTTTGCATTATACAATTGACTAATATTATATTGATTTTCTTATAATTTTTAATCGTCTTTGTAATTATTAATATTCAATTAATTTAAAAAATATCATTAGAACATGCTTAGAGTTTAGACATAATAATACAGTGAAAATATACAATATTTAAAGAAGTAAAATTGTATACGTTTATAAAACTATTATTTTTATAAGCATGCAGGAAATAAATAAAGAATCCTAAATGTTTATGGACATTTTTATAATATGCTAAGAAATAGGAGCAGAGCATGATAAAAATGCTGGGTATACTATTTTGCTATTTTTTACGACTTTGTTACATTTTCTGACCTTCTTTTAATTTAAAATGTTTGGTTGTGTTCAAAATTGTTTTATCCATATTGTTCATACAAGCTTACAACATTTGGTTTTGATTTTCTATTATAAAAATATTATTTTAATTTCATCTTAATCTGATAATATTATTTTAGACGTTCACGAAAGTTTTAAACGGTTTTTAAAAATTCTCCTCGTTTTTCGTCCGTATTGGTATCTTCTCTTTTTTAATCTTTAATTTTTTTTTACCTTTATTCACATTAAATATTTTATATCTTTTAAATACCTCTTAAAATTCATGAAATCATCCATTTACAGTATTATTTATGCAACCACTGAAACATATTGTGTTAACTAGTCAGTCATTTGTTCTTTACTGTTGCATATCATATCTACTTAACTGCAAGTTTTAACAATTATTCTTCATTTTTTAAGCATTTGACTCTCCCTCAACGTTTTTCACCCAATAAATATCGTAAAACATTGTTACTATCATTATTATTATTTTTTTGGTGCAATTACATAATAATATTTTGCTAATACACACAGACTCCTATTATTTAATTGAACGCCTGTATATTATATTATAATAATTGTACTAGCTCGTTTTTCACAGTCCACCACATTATCAGAAAAAAATATCATTCAAGCTGAATAACATAAAATATTGTTTACAGTTGAGATATAGTAAAAACGTCAAGTCAATACAAAAAGAGGTTTTATACTATCAGTTTGTTTTCCCCTCGAATACACACCGAACTCCGAAAACCTATCGCCCCTGCTCGCAGCCAAGTCCGACACATATTCGTAATGTTTTTCCGATTTATTATGATCGGCAGTAGCGTATATTATGGATTTGACGTCGGTAATACACCTATATCATATTTAAAAGGATTTTATTCCCTACACAGTTTGGCGCAGGTTTTTTATTTATTTATTTTTTTTACAATAATATTTACTATTTATACCCAAGAAGTACAATAGGTAGGTAAAAAGGTTAACAATGAACACTGACATAACAAATATAAGCACCAATAAATGATAGAAAGGGAATTAGTAAAATCTCGGATAAATAATATTAATTATTTATATGGCCCTATTTTTTTTTTTTTTTTTGAGAAATAATTTGTTATTATATTATGTTTTTTAAGGCGTCTCTGGCCCAATTTCTTTTAAAAAATTTAAACTTTCTAGCGGAATTTCCTGAAGTAGTTAGAGAGGACATAGTTTGAAGATAAGAGGATACTTGTGGTTAGTAAGTTTGTTATAAAATATATTATAATATGCATAGCAAGATATTTTTGTGTGGTGATATGTAGGTTCATTGGTGTATCTTTATGTTGGAGACCTACCCTGGGCATTCAGTAATTAGTCATCCACTAATCACCTTGGAAGGCTTCCAGTGGGTGAATGTTGTACGTTTTTGTATGCCCCCTTATTTTGGATGCCGTATGTTTGCCACATTTTGTTTTAAAGATAAGTTTGGACTTAAGTATTTGGCGGAGAAGGTGAAGGCGTGAGTTTAACTGTTTTCAATAGCTTATGATATGGTATTTCCAGGTGAGTCTTTGACAAAAATTCAATAAAGAAAAAAAGTGATTCCATTTAATTACAGCCGACACAAATACAGTGAGTTCCGCTTAATGTGATCACTTATTCTAGAATCAACCGTTTATTGGAATTAAAAATGAAAATCCCAAACCAAATATTATATTGAAAAAAAAAAATTGATGCTTTATGGAATTAACTGGTTAACAGCTGGTTAATACGGTCACATTAAGCGGTACTCACTGTTTATTATAATTATGCACACAAAAATTACATAACAAATTATTATGTAGGACGTGTATACTTACCCTGTCACGTGTTATTTTGTATTTTATGAATATAGTTTTCATCGGTTATTGTTTCTATTTATCACAACCTTTCGGAAAACACCTCTAACTGTTGAAGCTTAAAAATTTAAAAATTTAAATTAAACGGTTTTTGTTGTTCATATCAATATATCATCATAATATAATATCATGATTTGGTAAGCACAAAATTCCGCAGTCACAATAATTTATTATTATATTTAAACTGTTGTTTTATACATTAGCATTTCGTTTGTTTAATTTACGGTACTGTAACAATTATAATAGGCATAGTTAATGGTTATTGAAAACTCATATTTATATTTATTCTTCTATAACCTTCAGAAGCTTCAACATTAACCGTTTATTCCTGTTCGACATAGGTGGTCGTTACTTGTTTTACACAAAGGTCACGATAATATAAATGGTGTCTGTGAGTTGCTCGAATCACGACATCACGTTAACTGAAATACCAAACTTGAAAGTTGAAGCTACCAAAGTATTATTACTTAACCATCGATACAGAGCGGTGTCGGTTTCCGAGAAAGGCAATATTTTTTCGATGGAAATTGTTATCACCGTCTAGCATCGACCTCTATAATTATACCGGAATTTGAATGTCAACGACAATAACATTGAATACGTTTTAAGAAATAATGATGGCCGATAAACAAATACGATGTAATGATTTAAAGTCTAAACATCCAGCCTTCATTAACAATGTAAATACAATTGGTAAGAATACATCCAATTATTCTTTTAGAGAATTTTCTGAACACTTTGAGTTTTACTTATAAAAACTAAAATTCAATTAATGTGTATGTATATTATTAAATGTTATTAATTCATTTTTTTTTACATTAGAGTGTGCCAAGGCACACCCGGCACACCCCGTAGTTCCGCCTATGATTGGGCGGTTAACCCTCAATAATATAGTATTTCGATTCCATTCACGAGTATTGTTAGGTATAACCACCTGTAATATTGAATACACGGAATGCATGTTTCGTAATTTATTTTTCCACTATTATTAGGTTTTAGGTATATTGTTATAATTTATAGCAAAGGCTTGCAACCAAATTAACTGGAACCCGTAACACCCCTAAAAACCCTTAAAAAATCAAACACTAATAAACCCATAGAACACGAATGATTTTTTTTTTTATAACAACAGATATAACCGAAACCCGAATAAATCATCTTGATTAACCCGAAACCCAAATTATTTTTTATTCTACAAACTTCATGTAATAATAATAGGTACCTATGTAATTGTGTTAGTATTTTTTTGCGGTTAGTTTGATTTTATATTTACTCGGTTGCTCGATAATAATAAATTATCGACAAGAATAATTTTACAACCAGTTTGTCTTTGTATTAATTATTAAATATTTTTCGTTATCAACATATTATTTTAACATTTATACATACGCATCGTTATCCATTAATCGTTTATTCATTCAGTAGCTAGTATAATAGTCTGTCAGTAATATTTTATGAAATTAAATAATATTCTAAGGGATATCCTATAACCTTAAAAATGTTGCACCTACTTAAATAGTTTTTAAATTAAGTTTTTTCCATATTTACCATTATTAACCAAAATAATAATGGTTATAAGCATCCAAACATTTATTTAAATATTTTATTCCGAAGATTGAACGAATTGTAAAATAGATATACATCCAGTATCAGAAACCCGAAAGCCAAATAAATTATTCCGGTGCAAAGCTCTGATTTAAAGCAATATTTATACATTTCCCAAATATTATGAGTAAATATTTATTATTGTATTACAATCGTCACTGCAGACTATTATTAATTTAATTTAAATTCTCTTTTTTTGTTTCAATAATACGACATGAAGTGTCAATAAATCAATAAGCAATGTACTTAAAAAATTTACACTAAAATCTAAATTTAGATGTATATTTACATATTCCAAAATGTTTATCTATAGAAAATTATATCTATAGTCATAAACAGCACATTAATGAGTCAATTTAATTACATTTTTTTTTTATTACATAATTCCTAACGTGAACTTGTTGTATACTCATTTATACAGTTTTTTTGAAACATAATATTATAGTATATAATATTTTGGGTTTTCCTCCAATCTAACCACTACAGTACTCTAATTTTAACTTACATTGTAGTGAAAAACATTTTTTAAGGAGGTTAGTCAGTTTTTGGTTACGAAAAAACCGTTTGCGGAAATCGTTGTCATGGGATACCAATACTATTGTAACACTATTGTGGTAAATCGGTTTATTATAATAATAATATATACTGCATGACATGACGGATAATCCACATTATTTTTGTATAATATTTTAATCATTAAATCGAAAAAATAATGAAAAATATTAAGTGCAACCTTAATAAAACATTTATTTTTGTTGTCACTAAAATGGTTTTTTTAACGAGAACCGTAGTGAATAGAAGTGGGCAAAAATATGAAAACGGTAGAGATTTCATTAAATACGTGGAAGAGCCAATACGGGATTCTTTTATTTTACTATGATCTGTAAAAATCTGAAGATATCATTGAAATATAGTCGTGTTATATTATACTACTAATTTATATTATATAAACCATCCAAAAACTAAAATATAAATAAGACCCCAGTTGTAAATCAATACTGTTTAGTTGTTATCACTATAATCATACACCATCAATCATATCAAATACGCGTAGGGTAGACATATTACAGCACAACATTATTATTATTATTATTACCATTGCTATTGATATTTATGTTCGTTTTGATTAGTTTATAATAGCAAATACATGTAGTACCATAGTTTATAGTTTATAATTTATTATGATATTTACTGTTTAGACATAGTTTTATTATTATTATGTTATACTCTAGTTCTAGTACTCTACTCCAAGGTATAGGTATAAGTTCGTATAGTTTGCTTTAGTCAGAAAATTACAAACCGAGAAATTATCAAACGATAAGGTTCAATAATAAAAATCTTAAGACTATACATTTGTACGTATACAATATAAGGTCGATTGTAGTGTGATTATAGTATTATGTACAGCTGTATCACGGCCTGCAAGAACTCATTAATATTCATTTAACGTTCGTGAACTTTAAACCGTATACACATTATAATATTATGATAATATTTGTACTTATTACGCTGTACCGTTGCAGCAAAATATTGAAACATTTACGGCCAAGTCCAATAAATAGGTTGCTATTATTTTCTAAGGTCGTAACAATAAATTTTAAATTTCAGTCGATACTGCATTATAATAGTAGGAATAGCCAAGTATTGGTACCTACCGTACTAATAAATAATTTTACGGGATGAATTGAGTAAAACCGAGTATATTTCACGTTGAAAGTTAAAAGTTTTCGTATAATGTAATTACTTGGCAGTAATTTCTAATTACACATTATTTAACCAAATCCATTAACTTGTAAACCTATATAAACACAATATTTTCCATAAAATTTAAACGCTACATTTTAAGTCGTAATGGCATTACTAAGTTATAATGTTTTATAGACCTTGTTTATAAACGTTTAAATTATTAATATTCTGTAGCATTAGCCTGATTAATGATGTTTCTCAACTTAATGAGGTATAGTTTTTTAGTTTAGAACGGGTTTAGAGTGATTTTTTTAAAAAAAACCCAAATTTTATACAATCGAATATTTTTCAATGTTTTGTCTCCTAGCGATTGTGCAAAATAATAAATTGTTCGCAATACACGTGTAACTTCCTAATATATAGTCCTATAAGACTTTCCAACTACAACTCTTGTTCCATAAAACAGATTTTATGTTCTTAAATTCCAAACGTGTAAAAATAAAATACCGAGTGGTCCACCGATTAGAACCAATATAGTTAGAGTACCTGCCGAAATCACGTGTATTACCAGTGAGGTACTACAATGGTTTATTAAAGAATTTACGTATGGCAAACGACGTCTATGAGATGATTGCAATTGCTGTGTCCTAATTGAATATATTATGTTTACAGGTTACTTCTGAAATTAATTTTTTTTTTATAAAAAAATACTTTATCAATTATTGTTTTTTCTACAAATTTAGTTTTATTTTTTTTTATACATTATAATTATAACTATATAATATTATTATCTCTTGCAGTGAGAAATAAAACTTTGTGTTTTTAGAAGAGTCAAAAGTTTATTAACGCAATTATTTAAATTAATATACTTTTAGTTCGCTATAATCACAGTATTATACAGAATTCAACTAAATATGAAAAAAAAAAAATTGTCGACAGCCTTATTCTTTATTAAAAATGTAATAAAAATAAACTTTTAAATGTACACTACTATTTTAAAAGTTAACTTGTAAATTCATATATTTTTTTATATTTGGTGGTCATTCAAATATTTTTATTTATTATTTAAACATTACGAAATTCGATAAAACTTACCATTTATACGTGACGGATACTATAAACTTGTTGCAACAAAACAGTTTAATACCATATTATTATAGTGTAGAATTTATTTATTGCATAATATTAATTGTAAAATATCACTGTAGGTACACCGCTGCAGTTATAGTAGCATGTACCTATATTGCATATACGTCTCGCCGTCTTACGTCATGACTTATTATTTTAGACAATATTATTATACACGTTACTCAACACCATATCGGAATAATATGGAGCGGCCCACATCAGAAATTAAAATAATTTTAAAAATTCCTAGCGAAATGACTGATGGATGCGCTTTTTGGATGATGGGAAACACTAAGCACTAAAAGTATTGTTACGTTGAGTGACCTGTACATCTCAATTTGTGGTATTATAGACATATAATGTCAGTATACAACATAAACTGTAACTATAACAGAACTCTTGATTAACTGAATCGCAAGCGCGAATTATGAAATAATAAAATACGGAAGTATTAAACATTAGTTTTCTTTTAAACTTTATTTGAAAAAAAGGAAATTTCTTAAACATAAATTCAAAAATTTAAAATAACTATAATTGTAAACTTTGTTTTATTAATTATTAAAAGTCTTTGGTAAACAAAAATTTGAATGTATACGAAGTAAACATAATCAGTAAAGTTGGTATTATTTTATCAAAATTAAACATGGTAAAGAATACCATGTTTTTTTCAATACAATTTAATTTAATAGATTTATCAGATTTGCATTTGTCAAGATTATAAATAATTTAAGCAAATAGTAATTAAAAGTTAATTTTCAATTTATGATTGGTTGTTTAATCGATTTTATGCAATGATAAAATTTAGCATAAATTATCTTAATTAATAATAATTTTAGACTGCAATACGTTATTAATCTTTAACTATTAATTTAATAATGTATAAAGGGTTATGGATAGAAATCAGCAATATATTTTAGAACTTGAATTATTAATACAATGTGTCATTATAATAATATTAATTTAGGTACTGGTGTTTCATATTTTATATATTATAAAATATATATATATATAATATATATTCATGCGTAACAAAATCAAGTGCATTTATTTTCGAATGTGTAAAAATAAATTTAAGCGATATTGATGTTTTTTAAAAATAAATTTTATTATTATGTAATTATTTTAGGTAAGAAGGCGCACTATACAATTATACTACAAAGTAGGTATACAGATACTCTAATGAAAATGTGGTCAACTCATTTACACTATAAAAATGTACGTAATATATTATCCGTGTATACATTTTACCAATAACTTGAATGGGTTGTATAAATCATTTTTTTTCTTAACTTGAGCCCATCAACTTCGGGCTATTAGCTATTGTAGGAAATATGGACTATGATTGGTAGAGTTGATATGGTAAGGTTTTTACGGTTGTTGCATTAGATAAGCAACAAGTGTATGTGTGACAAGGTTTTTACTACTACGAACCCAGGTGGTCATCCATCCGGGAACTAGTAGCAGAGGACTTTACTTACTCTCAATCACATTGAGTGATAAATAATTTATATAGATAGTAAATATATTGCAACAATATAATTATTTTCGAATAGTATTGCAATATGATATATTATCATCATACTACACAACAATTATTAACGTTGCATTTCAAATGGAATCGAGTCGCGATTTGACACTTTAATGCCTGCAAAATATTATACAGTAACATAGCCAGAAGAGATATTTCGTACCACACTTTGCACTTGGAGATATTATTAAAAATATACAATATATTATGACGTTGGAAATATTCGGCATGATAAAATATTCCAGTTAGTATTATCATCACACGATTTTCTCATTGGAATACGACACTCGCATCGGAGTGTCATGTTTTATTAGACCCGTTACAATATTATTATAATCATTATCGTGTGTAAGTTTTTTTTTTATGATACATTGTACGATCCGTTTTTTTCGAGACGGTGGAGGTGCGCCGTAACACACGTTCACAATATATATATATTATATGACGTGTGTAATAATTTAATGAAACGCTGTAACAGAATATTTTTGTGTAATACGTGCATGAACATATTATATAGTAATAATAAAGCCATAAGGTTCAAAAATGAAAAAAAAATTGAGCTTTAACGGTATACCAGTGTAGGGAGCCAATGCGTACATAGTTACTGTTTGGTTTATTCGGACATGACTGAGGATGGTAATTCATCCCTTGAGAGCACGTGTTAATAAAGATCCGATATTCGTCGCCACGGCTCTTATTCGAATTTTCGGATCAGACATCATCGACTTTACTTTGGCAAACGGTATAATAATATTATAATATACAAATAGATAGTAAAGGAATGGGTAGGGCCAGTGACGTGTAACATACGGTACAAGTGCACCTCAAGCAACACCTTAAATATGAGAAAATTGGACATTTTATGGGTTGGTAGAAAAATATTATGAGGGTTGTATTACCAAAATTTATTTGAGCAACACCAATTTATTTATACACGCCCGCCACTGGAGATGACTACGATTTCTTTTTAACCTAGATATAATTATATAATATTAAGAATCCTAGGCCAGTAACCGCGGCGTGGTATGTACCACGGTAACTATAGTTTATAATATAACATTATAGAAGTTATAACATTATATATAATTATACATTATAAGTGATATTGATAATAAATTCGTCTCGGTTGACCGCCATTTACCGTACCTACAAATTGTTTACTATCTTTAAAGTTTAAATATACCCACCGTTTGTCTGTGCTAGTTTAAGGAGAAAACGGGGAAACCCTAAGAGCCATTCTATAATAATATATAGTATTAATTTTGTACTGTATATATTAGAAACATTATCTATACATCTTATAAGTTATAATAATATCTTTAAGTTTTACAGAATATTTAGGTATAGTACCTATTATATTATAATATAACGGCGTTTAGATATCAATAATCAACAAAGTGCCAACAACTTTGAACTACTTACCTGAACTATTGTGAGTAGGTACCTAATTGAAAAATTGTTGTCCTACCTAGATATTACCCAACGAATAAACCGTTTTTAGCGCAATTGACCAGGCCCGTTTCGATATCGTTGCAGGGTGAGCATCAATATAACCGTCTGTGATAACTAACCCCTAACAGCCAACATCGTTAAGTACTCAAAATGTATACGTCAAATTATCATCAGTCCGGTCACGTTATAAAGGAATAAAGAGTGTGTGCGTCGACCGAAATGTAATAAAAATATATTATAATAATATTAGGTTAACATTATGATGGAGGGTAGGTACTTACCAAAGTTGGAAAATACATTTGCGTGATTAAACCGAATTTTCGCGAAACTTTGTTGTACGTATACTGTTAAAAACTTGAAAATGAAAATAAAAAAAACCCCGACTTCATATTATTATATTGTCACCGTGCTAATTGCGTGTTTTTTTTTTTCCATCGCCGATGAAGTACCTACCTACGCCGCGTGTTGTGTGCGGTAAGAAACACGCGATTTTATTTCACACGGTTTTCTTGAAAAATTTTTTAGAACTCTGCACGATTCGTTCGATGATATAAACTATACGCACAGCACTCTGCATAACAGCGACAAACAAACAATATAACAACGACAAAACATCTAGGCACGTAAATGAATTACAGTTTTTTGTTTGTTCGTTTCGGAGCATTGCGTGCTTGCGGGGTTTTACGGGAACGTTTTAAGACCAAAGAAGTATGTTTATTTAATGCAATAAAAATTATAATATCGTATAATATATTTGATAAATATAAACACAAAAATAACCTCCCGCTTTTTATTTTTGCGTAGCTTATAATTTGTATACCATAAACGGCCAAAGTTCTTGTGTTTTCAGTACTTTTAAATTACTAAACCTATTTATATTTTCAAAAAAAAAATAATACGGTTAAAAAAAACATTTTTGTTCAAAGCATAAGAATAATAATATTGTCGTATTTTTAAATTAATACCATTATCCCCGTGAAATTGTTATTCAATTATTATAACTTTTGAAAAAGTGAACAAGATATTCTCGGACATTTTAGATTTCAAAATCTTATAACTGCTAAGAGAAGCGCTGTATTCGAAAAACGATTGCCTAAATTTATGCACAAAAAAATAAACTCGATTTACTAAGTACCTATGTACTTATTTAGTTTTTAAAAATTCAAATGATGCGCAGATAATGTATACGCATTAATGATACGTTAATGGTATATAAATTGTAATGATATTGTAAACCAAACTCGATAATAAGTATACTACCTACAGAATGCATGTATTTTGCGTATTATATACAGACAATTTAAAAGTCTAACGGGGCCTGTTTATTATACCTGGTATAATTTATGGACGTTATCGGTAACGACGTCCTTATACGCATCGACCAAAAACGCGAAGTAAAATATCATGAAACCGGCCGATACGCGTTTGTTGAGTGTTTTGATTGTGTTTCAGTTTTCGGTTGAGTTTCAAGAGGAAAGAAAGGGGCGGTGGTTCCGGAGGTAGTGTTTACGGTTGTCGAGAACACCGGGATAGCATATCGGCAGTTCCCGCACGGTTCATCCAAGCAACCAGCGTACGCAGAGAGACACTCAATCCAAAATGGGGTGAAAATTTCATGTTGTAAGTATCGCATGAGCTCTATGCATAATATACCTATGTATTTTTATCTTGGATATCGGAGATTTCTACGGTAAATTTGTTGTTCTCTTTTTTTAGTGACATCGATGACGTGACCAGTGACATCCTACACTTGGACATATGGTAAGATAAACGATGATATTTATTGTTTTATCAATAATTACAATACTGGTACAATTATTTTCAGTAGAATTTCATATAATAATTGTGTTTTTAACATATAAATCCATTATACGATCATCATTTTGTACTATATTTCTTAATACATAATACTAAAACGTTAAGAATGATCAAACATCCGAACGCGTAATATATTTTGTTTTTTGACGTATGGTGTGCAGGGACCACGATGACGAGTCTTCGGTGTTGGACGCTGTCAGCAAGTTAAACGAAGTGAGGGGCGTCAAGGGCCTGGGGAGATTTTTCAAGCAGATAGCTCAGAGCGCTAGATCCGGTAGCCAGGACGATTTCTTGGGATGCATAAATATACCAATTCAAGTAACATTTATATAAAATATATATTCAGGCTTGAGGCCAAGAGTCGCGTCACCGTACGTACATATAGCTATAATCGGATATTGTTATCGACGTAACAGGACGTACCTTCCACGGGCCTAGACAAATGGTATCAGCTAGAAGCCCGGTCGCAGCGGTCCAACATCCAAGGTAATATACGGCTGAAGCTGTGGTTGTCCACTCGAGAGGATCACGGCCAGGCAAGTACCCAAAATCATTTCGACAACTGGACCGACGTGCGTCGTAACGAAAGACTGTTGACCATATTCGCCGATTACGAGATGTCACTGACAAAATCCGTGAGTATAATTTAATAATAAAGAAATTCGTTGATTTTAGAACTCTGGCTTTGTTCTACCGAATTTGCAGTACTAATATTATAATAATAATAATCATTGTCAATATTGTTATTACAGAGCCTGTGGAACGGTGAACTCTGTCACGAGGCGACGAGCATACTTCATCAGCACGCCGTGCAGAGCGGAGTCTCCGAACTTCAATTGGCCGTGATAAGGTGGTTGGCCTTCAGCCACATACCGTCTATAGACCCACAGTTTCTCTTGAAACAGTTGTCTCAATTAGAAGCCGCATGGGGAGAACAGACGTTAACCGTCGAAGAGGTCAGTGGTTGGGGGAAAACTTTCGTGTAAACACATCCGCACAAAAACGTTACCTACAAACGATACATATATTTTTGTTAATTTAAGTAACCACTTCGTCTGTATTGACATCTGATAAATATTTGAATTATTATTTTTAAGTGGCCAAAAAACCATATATGTTACATTATCATAGTTCCTACTTAGTTATGTATAATATAATTTGTATATTTTTATCTAATTTAAATTAACGATCCTCTCAATTTAAATCTGATAACTCGATAGCATGACGATAACGACAATTATTTACAAAAACTTTATGATTTATATTTTTTTTGTTTTTAGTTTTACTAAATTTATGTCAACAGAGTAATTTTTTCCAGGAGGACTGGCTGGCCGACTCTTTCAACGTTTTCTTAGACTATTCCATGCAACTAATCCGGAAATACCGCAAACTCTTTCCGCCGTACCATCACATATCGATGAACCGCCTGGAGTACATTCTCAGGTAAACAAATAATGAGGAAGTTATTTGATTGTTTTCAATAAACATTGATTATTCCGGTTTGGGTACCTATACCATGATTTTTAACATCATTTTTACGTAATAACTGACGTGAAATTCTGGTGGTATTTTATATTACAGATGTTTGAGCCGACTGTCATTGTCAAAAGCGTACGGTAAATGTTGTCCCTTCAACAAGGATATCCGCGGGGAAATTGGAAACGCGCTTAGACTTGGTACGAACGAGTGGTACGAAGAAAATAGAAAATTCATGGCCTCCGGACAGCACGATCCGGAAACCCGACTCAAAGGATTCGTAAGATTAGTCACTTCCGTGTTGATTGATCTACAAAAAGGCGTGGAACATTATAACGTTCTATTTGAAAAGTAACTCGATCTTTCGTTACTATTGTTGTAGTTGCAGTCCCAAAAAGTTTTTGATTATATAAAAATTGCTTTATGCTTTCAGTATAAATGGTGTGTTTTACTACGCGGCGATCTACAAACAACACGAAAAATTAGTAAGTACTTACAGACGTTATACGTTATTATTGAAGTTCTACTAATTCTTAATAGGCCGATCGATAATTCAGTTAGCAGTAACGAATGATATTGTGTTTTCTCAGTTGGCAAAGGGATTTTCAAATCATTTGGACATAATCATAGAGGTACAAAGTATGACACGACCCCGTAAATGAATATTAGTGCCCTCGCAGTAGTATTCTCAGTGCTACAATTCCGTTGCCAATAAAATGATATTAATATGTGTTTTGCTATTAGGGGTGAAGAATATTATTATATGTTTGTTAGAAGTGTTTTGACGCTTTTTCCGATAATATATGAACATGTTGTGCCACTCGATATAATAATTATTATAGAGAGAGTTTTTTTTTTTGAAAAATTGTTCATAGATTTTAGTTTTGAAAATACATTATGATGCGTATAGATGTTTGTGGATTTATATCTATGTATAGAGTGATATTTAGTTGAGAATGTTATACAATTTTTTCATACTTAATTTGTTTCATTATTATTATTTTTTTTCTTCTAATTATACGATTCTATGATTTCAGTTGTCCAACGATCTGAGCCAAGAAATAGCTCCCATTTGCAAAAAAGTAAAAGGAGCCGATTTCGGTATGGACACCCCGCTGTCTCCGACAAACTCCGAAACCGGGGAATCACTGTTTGAACTGTATCTAGCCGTTCAAGAGTTTATCAGGTATGTTTCGGGACACAAAATTAAAATTTTTTTTTATTTATTTATTTCGCTTTTAGTAATAAACTTTGACAGCTCAACAATTAAAATTAAAAGTTAAAAACCAATATCGTTATTAGGTACCGTGAGCATCTCAATGCGTCCGATTACCAAGGACTGTCAACGCAATGCTATTACCACTGGTTCGAACCAGCTTTGGAAAAGTGGCTGGACCTGGCCAAATTGAAAATCGTGCAACGTGCGAAAAAAGCACTAGAGTTAAGTATGATCTGTCAAGGCGAAATGATCGTAAAACACTCGACGTCCAGCAATGACGTGGTTACAGCGCTGTGCCATGTGAGTAAAATAGATCAAAACTATACAACAATGTCCCCCTCGAGACAGTATGCGAGGTGAACATTTTTTACAATTTTATTTATCTCGTATCGTGTTTACGCAGATGAAGGAATTCTGGAAACACCTCGCCTGGCCGGACCTGATTCAGTCGTACAATTTCGTACTGAAATTACTAGACGTAATGTTTTTTAATCTTTTAACTATAATATTATAATCGTGAAATTCAAAATTAGAAGTATAAAAATAATATAATATATTTCGTTTTGCAGGCCATGTGCGAAGCGGTCCTGTTTTACGCCCAACTGGTCCACCAAAGGCTAAAAGATTCTGGCTTTTACGATGACGTTTCGGCGTTCAAAACGTCTGATGAAGTACGTAAATCATAATATATCCAAGTATACAACGCAAATGATCGTCATATTATTATAAGTATAACCAAAGTATTAATTATTTAAAAAAGTTAATGTTAAGTTATAACAAAATCAAATTTCCTTGATATTCGAGTACGTACTGTATATGATCTGCATATCATCTGAACTGAACTAACCTTGTGAGTTAATTATAGTTTTATAAATTTGCTTTCATAATATATGAATCCCGTAGGTTTAAAAAAGGTTTTTCTATGTAAAATAAAAAAAAAATATATCAAATATTATACATTTGATAAAAAGTAAAGAAACTTTTATAAACTTTAAACACGACTCACATGTCAACTCGATCTAACGAGTCGAAAAAATGAGTTGACTCATCGATCATCAAATAATATGATGTTCAATAGCAAATCCAACTCGACGTGTTCGTCAGTAATAATATTATTATTCCCGTCGCGTTTCATACACGTTTTCACGCAGGTGTGCGCCGCGCTAAACGATCTGGAATACGTGTGGCGGACCGTAGCATCGATGCCTGATGACCTGCACTTGGAAACCGTCGTGTCCGCGGTCGAGGCCACTGGCGAGGCCACTGCGGATCAGTGTCGAGCCGATGTCACCTCACTACTCGATCCAGTGTTCAACCAGTACGGCACGTACTCGATGCTGATCGTCGGCCGGATCGCTGTCAGGGTAAGTGTGTAGCGTGTGCGTGGCGACCATATTTCCATCCCTAAGCAGAATTTTTAAACAATCACCTACCCACTATCCCCTACTACATTTTATTATATAATTTAAAGCCAGCATTTTTGCGATAGAACGTCATTAATAGTTGTTTGCATAGACAAAATACTATAATAATTAATTATAATTAAAAAAAATTTAATAAAAGCAAATTTTAATTTTTTAAATAATAAAATACAATACTAGGGCTAAACAATTGCATTAGGTAAACGTAGTTCACCACGCCACTCCTTGATTATTTATTATCTATTTTTATATTATTTTTTATATGTTACCTAAGCCGGCATGGGGGTATACGGAACTGTACAAATAATTAATAGTGTTCGAATTGATTCCGAATAAAAAATGACATATCATGTCATCCAACTGTTCGAATAATTGGTCCCAACTTTCAATTTTATTACATAAAAATAATTACATGTAATATTATTAAGATCTAATGACGGGTTTTCACCGAAAATGGGGCAGAATTTGAATATAATTTACAACAAACTATAATACACATCGTCGTTGATCGTTTGACGGAAAACTTAATTCAGAATTTAATTCTACACGTCCAAATATATTTTTATTAATTGAAAAAGGGATCCAATGTGAAACATGTCTGAAAGTTTAAACATGGAAGCAAACGACTTAAAGTCAAGGAAAACAGCTGAAAAGGAAAAGTTAGTAAAATGTGTGAACAAAATAAATGAAACAATTGAATGACTTCAAAATTTCAACATTTCGCAGTGCTGAAAAATTGTATTCGTAAATGTATACCACTTACATTTTGTTTAAGAATAATTTATTTAAATTAACTTCGACTTTTTTAATATTGGGTTAGACTATTATTATATAAATATTTTATTATTAGTAGACAGTAGTTATTATTAATCAATACGTATGAAACTAACTGCTTGAACTTGTGTATAAGTTAACTAGCCATGTAGACGTATCAACCTTATTTAGGTATTCTAGATACTCCTAAGTCTGCGTAAAATAGGACACAAACTATTTTTCGGTTGAACACACAATAGATTTTCAACTATACCTATAATTGAATAAGTTAATTTTAACATGACTGTATTATTAAAATCAAAATTCATCGGAACCAATTCGTATGTATATTGTATGCCTATAGTCTACCCGGAAACAAATTCGGTAGTTTGGAATTACTTTGGTAATTGGAAACCAACCCGTAGTAGCTTCCGTCGTATAATATAAGCCCCCGCCCCACGTTCGAAAAGATCGGAAACAGATATCCGTTCTAGTCACAAATATTATGAAAACGTTTCCGATCGTCTCGTGTGTTGCACGACCGAATTAATACTCACGACTTGTCACGCCCGACAGATGCAAGCGCCCCTGAAGAAGTGTATTTTCCACCTGGCGTGGTCGCCGGACACACTTCCGACAACCGACGCTATCGTCCCGCTACAGGAATACCTGGACAGCCATCTGATCTCGCTCAACACTAACCTCATACCGAAAAACTTCCACAAGGTGTTGAACGGTGTGTGGGAAGTGACTGTCTACGAGTTGGGCCACCAGATGGACGGTGGCAGTGGCGACACGAAGATGTCCGGTTTCTACGAACGGCTGTACGAGGCCCTGGAACTGCTAGTGGAATTCTTTCACGCCGAGGGAAACGGGCTTCCACCTGAAATTTTGACCGGAAGTAAGTGTTGACCGCGGTCACAGAATATAATTTTAAAATAAATTCCCCGTCTAAGATTTAGGTACCTTATTAACTTTGTAATTTCTTATTACATATGCGATCACATATTATAGGTTTTATCAAGTGTATTATCACGACAGTGGTGAGTCGTTACAAGCTTTACTGTTCGGCAACCAAAACCAACGCGATACTACATTATCATAATTTTATTAAGATATTTTAAATTACTTTTAAATAATAAACTTAATAACTTTTAAATTACAGCATTTATAGCTTTTAATATTTCAATAATGCCGTTTTATTTTAAATACCATCAATAAGTTATTGTTTATTTTTATAAGTTTAAAATATACTAATAAGTAAGTTTATAGACAGTATGAATACCAATATTACACTACAAAAATGTAAAATGTAAAAGTGATAATAAAGTAAATAGTATATTGTGTGGCAAAGGCGGGAAGTGAGCTATTTCAGTCTCGAGCAATGTTTCGCCCAAGACTGAAAGTGCCTTCCCACACGAGCCACACACACTATTTTTTTGTTACGTCTCTGCGTTCATCGATCACGCTATCACGGAAAAGGTAATGCAGGCTGGAATCTATCCAACAACCAGACTATTCTACGAAAGCAATATTGCGTGAAAGAAACTATTAGGTTTTATTTATCTTAAGCGTCATGCATATGGAGGTTATAATATAAATATAAGATGTAACCAAAAGTTTATATTTTACATAAGGACCGCGGTGTAGATTTTAGTGTCTGATTGTGCAGAGGATACGCGTGATATGTTGGCTCAATACTTTTAGAGATTTCCATTTTACCACCCGGCACTTTTGGGAATTTCCACTTTTCCGCCCACTGGACGAAAAAAGGTCGCTTTCCAGCGTTTCAGCCGTCATCGAAAACTAAACATTCGATGCAGGCGTAACAAAAAATATAATAATAGAGGAGGGGACACGTACAACAAAAATGTTCTGACTGCGAAATTTTATGATTATTAATAATTATCATATAAGAGAGTAATTTTAAACACACTAATCGTTTTCGACAGGTGTTTACAGGGCCGTGAAGCAGAGACTGAAACTGCACAAAACCGACACTGACACGTTGATCGAACTGTACTACGAAGATCGGTTGATGGAACAGCAGAGGGTGAAGGAAGCAAACTATGGTGTGCTGTCAGTGCGAGCATACTATCATCACGATTCTCTGTGCGTAGAGGTGCTGAAAGCCCGTGACGTCATACCACTAGACCCGAATGGTAATCGTCGTTGTAGCCACGGATAGGGAAATTGTCTTGGCATGCTACTAACACTAGTCCCTAATTTATGTTTAACTCTAAAACTTTTCAAGTTTATTAAAATTTTGATCTTTTTTTAACCTGTTAAAAATCCAAATGTTTGAAATTTAAACATTTTCTTTTCAAACATGTTGATTTTGGTGACAATTGAAAAGTACCTTGTTGCACAAACTTTAAAAAATCAATTTTCTTACGATTCGTTGCCAACGGTTTATTTTCTAAATCAAAATTCTTGTTGGTTTCAACTATTTTTCCTTTTGACGTAAAATGTGGTCGCTAAGAACGGGGTGGTCCAACGGGTATATAAGACTTTTATTTCAGAAAACATTTATGTTTTTGATAAGATTTATTTTACATAATAAAAGACATTACATACAACACAACATTTTTGAAAAAAATAATATTTCTTCATCCATAATTTAAATTTTTTATACATCGAAGTACTCCAAAAATATTCTGTTTTAAAATAAGGAATTAAAAATAAATGTTTCCATGAAAAATTAAATAAAAGTTAAAAATTATTACGAAAGAGATTTAAATTTTTTGAAAAATGTTGTTATTTAACGACTTTAAATGATAAAAGAATAATTTTTCCAAAAATGTTAATAGCTTATTTGAAATAATAAGTGTCTTAAGTTAAATGGATCACCCGCTATGGATAATTTTAAAATTCCTGAAATCAGAATGAAAACAAAAGCTAAATTTATATTTAAACTTGAAAATTTGACGAGCCTACATAAAGGTCATCGCTGTTTTGTATAACAGTTCACACGTACATTTCATATGGAACTAATTCTTATCAATGTGTTGGTTACAGGTTTCAGCGACCCATTCGTCATCGTCGAGTTGCTACCCAAGTCCATGTTCCCGTACAGCGCGGAACAGTACACCGACGTGAAGAAGAAAACGCTGAATCCACTGTTTGACGAGTGTTTCGAATTGTGAGTGTCCCACTCGGCGACGGTACCTTATAATATAGACTATCGGGGACTGGACAAGTAAACGAGACCAACAATTTGACGAGTGGATATAATTTTCAATATTTAATGAATATTTATTGGGTTTTTTTTTTTAATTTGAATTACTTCTCGTTCGAAATCAATGTTAAATATTATTACAGTATTCACTGACGATCGTCATAAATGGTAAAACCTATCATTTAAATTTCCGAAAGACATTTTTTTTCTCTTTAACCGAAAATTCCATTAGTGTTCCAGTACCCGCAGTCTCGATACTATAATAATATTATATCGTCGAACACGACCTATTAACGACGATGATGGTTTTTGCGATGTTTCAGTGCCGTATCTATGGACCAGTGTCGTCACGAGTCCGCCATGATCCTGTTCACCGTCATGGATCACGACGTGATAACGTCCAACGATTTTGCCGGAGAATCTTTTCTGTCGCTCAACTCCATACCAGGCGTTCTCGCACCGCTGCCGCACGACATCAACGCCATCGACAGAGTAGACCTAATACTCATGCACCAACAGAACAAAGGTAAAAAAAAACAAAGAGAAATAAATTGCAAAGAGATAGGTGGAACTCCCTGACGTGTTACCATTCAAAAAGGGGAACGTAGATCTCAAAATCAGGACAATCCACTCCCTCTAACCATGACTGGAGATGACTTGCAATTCCGGGATGCTAGTAATCTAAGCAGTTTAGTGCTCGAATTGGGGGGACGAATAACCTAACTCATGTCGACCTTTCGAGTGCAGATTCTGTTCACTCTTGTGGTACGATTTCATATCCGTCATATTACGTCTGTACTATATGGTCCACAATGCTGTGAAATGTTCAGACCCAACGGATTTTACACCGTCGATTACTTTTTATCCATCTGTTTCTGTCCAGGCCTAGAGCGCTAACATGTATATAAAAAAAATAAAAAACACGTAAAGCTGAATTTATTAATTCCCATTGAGTGCCCATCATAGAGTTATATTTTTTTTTTAATTTTAAACGAAATTACATACTACACTGCTTTGTTCAGTGGTTCGTGTTCGGTGTCAGCCATGCAGTTTAATATAATAATTCTTTTTAGATCTTGAACACTGTAATGTTTATAATATTATAATATATTAATTTATGTAATATAAAAACGATGATAAAAAGCTGAAATTTAATATTTAATTTTAAATAAAAAACATATTATATTTTATGCACAAAAAACAAAATATGTGTTTTGTGATAAAAAAAAAGTATTGGAAATGGCCCGTAACATTATAATGCTCAAGGTGCATAATGTTTAATACGGTAATTGTCCTCATATTTATAAACTAAGTATACAGAATGATACACCAAGCACACTCATCCCTCTTTAAAACTTAACTTTTTCAATAACTGCATTAACAATGAAAACAAGGGTGATCATGCCTGGTGAATCACTCTGCAGTATGACTCGTCACGGCATCCTTTTCAAACGATTGTTTTAAATTTATCATTCTACGTCTGCAAAGACTAAACACTACGACACTATTACATATATATAAGATTTGATAATACTGCCCATCATTATGAAATTGTCTGATCGACTGTTACTCGTTTGTGTGTTTCCCGCCGAGTATAGGTCATCCGATACTTCACACCTTGGACGCCAGGCACGAAGATAAGGTTGCCCAAGACTTTGTGAAAAAGCAGAGGGTCCGCACTACCAACTCATGAGGCCCACAGTGTCTTACCGTGACAGCTCTTACAGGGTGTTGCGTCTCGGGCCTCGGCGAATCGCCCGAGTCTTGATCGTCAACTTCAATATCGACGAGTGCCACGTCTTCTGTTGCACCGTGGTCGGAGTCCGACGAATACATAACACTATTTTTTAAATATTATAAAACAATATTATAAATATATATATATTATAATTACGACTAGTAAATCGCGGACGTGGCGATAAAGAAAAAGATTTTAAAAATTTAACAAAAAAAAAACAAACAAACAAACAATTTCACGAATTTAATATATATTTCGTTCACTAACCTCGTCATAAAAAAAATATAATACTATTGTACATTACGATTTTATTGTTGTATAAAACTACGTGACAATATTATTATTATTATTATTACATATTTACACACGGATTTCGACGTTGATCGAGGAAAGCAGCCATGATTGCTCTTCGAACATTTTTTAATATTATTGCCTACTAACCTATAATAATATATGTTATCATTGTAATATACACTCGCAGTTCAGAACCTCCAAAACTCGGGAATTTCGATAACTTTTGAGAAAAACTATTTGTTACAATAATTGTTGCCTGTTCGAATAGAGTTAACGGAGCTGCGATGGTTCTATTTATTATTGTACTTATTTATTATATTCAAACGTCAAACTCGATCCGAATAATTTAAATGTATAATATAAATAAATAATAACAATATTGTTATATTTTAGTTGACACGTTTAACTTTTCAACTAGGACTAAAAGACAATCTATATTGGTTTTTGATCGTGCCGAGATCACGATGATTAAAAGACCATTATAATATTATTATTATTACATACTTATACAGTAGGTCTACTATCTATCGCCTATACTTGCAAAAATAGTAATGTTCAATTTGTTTTCTCTCATTATATTATTATTATTATTATTATTATTATATTACAGACTATAATACGCGTATATTTTGATTTCTATAATAATATAACATTATTGATATATTTAATAATAATAATATTATTATCATTATAATTATAACTGTAATAATATTATATGCAAAAAAATACAATACTACTGTAAGTTGTATTTTGGTAATTATAAAACATGCTGTAAATGTTTGCCGACCTAAAATGTATGACGACCAATTTTATTATTATGATTACGCAGCTACAATATTATAAAAATATTATGTTATATTATATTATACTATTATATTATACATGATACGATTATAGCATCATAATTTAACTACCATAAAATACTGTCCCGTACGTTCTAATTATTATATTTTATTAATATCGATACATTAATTCCATGTAAAACTTTTTTCGAAAATTCTACAAAATCAGGTAAAACAATATTAGATTTTGCGTGAAATTTGTACATTGATTTTTTAACACACACCTAATATTAATATATGTTTATATAATATGATTTAACAATAAATTACGATATTAGATCTACATGATTTTATATTTTATTAGTTCTGATGCAAGCCACATTTTACTATACTTTCTTTCTCAGCGAGAAAGTAATAAATTATCTCAAATTCTTACTTCAAACCCATCCCGATAAGGTTTAGTTTTCAAAAATATTTTTGGATGGATTTTAAAATTTCTAAAAAAGGGTTTTTGAAAACTTTTCATAGGTACCTCTTACTGTAATAGGTATTTAAGCGCCCAGGTAGACCAACGTAATAATTTCTGCAAAAATCCGTTTGGAATATATTAATGAATTATAATATGAATTCGTCGTGTTATTGTCTATTGAATACAGCTAGGGTGAAACAGAAATACCTGACAAAATACATAACTAACTAATGAAATGTATTTTTTTTTTTATGATCGATATTTTTAATTTTATTATTTTGCTTTTGTGTTTGCTATTACATATTAATTATTATTTGCATGACATCTTGACAGTTTTTCCTGTTGCAACAATTCGAGATTCGTTAGGTCTCAAATATATTATTATTTATTCGGAACACCGGTTAGGCGATCAGTCCGTGTATACCGGTATTACATTTTTACATACGAAAGGGCGCTAAAAAAATAACGCTCAAGTCACTGTTTTATGATCGGGCTCTTATTATGGCGTTTATATTATTGTACACTTTGAAAATAAATGGCGGTATAGGGTCCGGGATACCGTGGTAGGACGAAATTAACTGACAACGAATCGACCGTGAAAAAAACAAAAACGAAAAGTAATAAATGTCTGTATATAGTTGACACGTGTGTGGGTGCAAGTACGAACCGCGTAAGTACGGAGTAAGTACATAACAATTATACTTTATCAAAATATATTAGTTTATATTTTCGAATGATACAAAACTTACGGAAAATCAAAACTAAACATATTAATTTATTCTAATAGTAATATTGTAAATAATACACATGTATACATAAATAATGTTTTAAATATACGCTATATAATACTAGGTACCTATATATTATAATAATAATAATATTATCATCTTAATGTAGAAAATAATGCTCATGAAATTGCCTACAAGGCCTATAACACAATATTCATTTATATCGCTCGTCCGAATACAAAATAATAATATTAAAAAAAAAAAAGTACAGATGTTTAAAATGAACACGTATTAATAATGCAATTACATTTACTAGTCAATTTAAGATGACGAATTAATTATAGTTAAGATTCACTTACGTGTAATAATAATAGTAGAGGAGCGGTGACATGAATAATATATAATATTATATGTCGTCATCGGACAATACAATAATTGTTATGATAATGACAATTGTTTTTTTACTTATTTATAATATCGAGCTTTGTTGACCAAGACTTAATACTGTTCTGAACAGCGGCCTCAATAACATCTCTGTACTATATAATATAGTTTATATAGTATTTAATATAATATTAAAATCTAATAATATTATGTCATATTATGTGCGTCGGTCGGCCAAAATCCACGCAATAGTATCATTTAAATCACGATTCAATTCAACTTGTCGTGGTTATTTTTACACAGTTCGGAACGTATTTCGATTTATTCGATATAATATTATGTGTGGAAGGACGGAGAATGGCGATAAGTCAAACGAGAGTATAGAGTATTCAACGAACGGTTGACCCATCGCCAAGGTGTTGGTTAAGAGAAAAAAAATCATTGTCAATCCTATATAAGATCCGACATAATAATATAGATTATTTAGTTATATCTGCGATCGGTACGACTTCAGTACGATGGTTGAATTTTTGTGGAAAGATATTGGTGAGCCAACGGTTTTTTTATAATATAGACGAGTCAAAAAATCTTCGGGAGAGCCGATCGTAACGTTTTCGTGTCTCTCGACCGATGATTTCCTGTAGCACCGAATAGTGGTTTAAGCATACGTGAATAATTAAACGTAACATATTAACAGGGTAATTTTTCAACAGCAAACACTCATCATCTCAATCAACTTTCGTTGTTTTTCTCAACCTTAGGCCTTGAGGACAACAACGAAATTCGCAATGCATCGGTCATCTCACCTCTAAAAGCTTGTTATTAAAATATTATAATGTTTCGATATTTTCATATAAAATTTAAAATATAGATTTTCAATAAAAAATTAAGAAACATTGGCATCTTAAAATCGTAAAAATTATTTGATTCGCTTTTTTAATGAAACGCAAAACTATGCACCTACCGAGATAATTTACGAATGTTTGCTGTTAAAATCGTCCTGTAGCCATATCCGTACCACTTAAGCAGTTGAATACCAGCACAAGTGTTTCGTATAGGCAAGTTAAAAAAAAAAAAAACTAAATATTTTAAAAATGAAAAACCATCGTGTACGAATTGAATCGTGAATCAAGCGTCTATAACATGTGTAAGAGGTTCCGTCATAATGGAGAGGAAAAACAACTATTTACAAAGATTTAAAAAAATAATCGAATGCGATCGGACGACGGACGTCAGTGCAGCCGTCCCGAGTACGCCGACGAACCGGATGAAAACGACACTGGAAACTTTGACGGTTGACCGGTGCCGGTGTGGAGCCTACCGCTGCCGAACGCTTCCTGTTGCGCCGTCCTGTACTTGGACCCGATGGCCGCCTGCAGCCGGGAAGTCAGGTAGCACAGGATCATGGCGGCGACGAACAGGAGACAGCCCAGGACCCCGGACAGGGCCAGGAACGTCCCGCAGTTGTTCTCGGACGTGGTCGCGGCGCCGTGGTAGATGTCCTCGGGCATGATGACTGTGTACTCGATGTTCTCCTTGAACTTGGCGAAGTTAGTCGCGTTCCGGTCGTCGGCAGCTGAAGTCTGCTGCTGCTGCAGCGCGGTCCCGTTCCCGGTGCCCGGCACGTGTCTCCTGCGCCTGCGCCCGTGTCCGGAAGGCTCGAACAAGTCCAAACAGTATTCCTGAAAATCACGACCGTGGTTAATTGGTATTTATATTAATAAAGCGTATATTATTTTCATTACTAGGTTCCAGGAAACTCAAAATATTTTGAACCCCGCTGGACCGGCTGAACAAAATTTATAATAATGCCCATTCCGCAATATAATATACTACCCATATGGTGTGGGTGCACCTTGGCTCGGGCTTTCTCCATACTTTTTTACACAAAAAACACTGAACTCCCAAAAGCACGTAAAAAAATGCGATCTTATTATAGTTTACACTGCGGTGCCTTAAGAGTTGATGACACTTTAATACTTTGTAATAATGATATTACTTATTCGAAAAAGTGTCATTAAAAACTACTTTCATATTATACAGATATTCGCTGCAGACGATATACACACAAGGAAGAGAGTACCATTCTTACTTAACAAAACTCAAACTGTTCGTTTATTGAAAAAAAAATGTTAATTGTGTTGACTATAGTTTCAACGAAAATTCTGTACAAAAAACATTGAAACTGAACAATATTAAAAAATATTTGATCTGAAATAACTGTTGTTGTGTGGTTGTGTCTAATCACAATACCTTATAAGCTGCAGGCTTAGATCAAGTGAGCCCTCTTATTTTATA